GTGTTCACTGTTTTGATACCTGTCATTCCTATCAATGTGAGAAGTAATTCTCACATCCTTCTATAGGACTCAGGATAGGTTCATTTATTTTGTTTTTCTGCCACCCGTAGCAATAGTCTGATATCCATGTATAAAATCTTCATTTTAAAAGAAAATATTTCCTCTGAAAAACAATTTTAAATAGACATAATAAAGGATGGGAAGAAATTTGTTTGATTGTTCTATGAATGTCCACCCAGCATGAATGAAGAATAAGCCTTCCTATGCAGATGTGCTCCTACTAGATTTGTCTTGGCTTTGCTAAATCTAGCAATCATCTGTGTTGATGGGAAGAGCCCAGTGGAGGTTGTATGTTTGTACACCCTTATAATCCTATACCCGTTTCAGAAAATTAACCAGGATTCATCTTAATAGTGTTCTGCAATGCTACCAACTGAGCAAGGGGGTCTTAGATAGGACTCTGAAAGCACTCCGCTTCCCTACCTGCCTAGGCCCTCTTTTCCAGCCACCCAGATTTGTCTTTCATCTTCCTCCTAGAACATGAGGATACCTGCTTTATAAAAGTGAGTTGCTTGCTGCAAACCATGGTTGAACTCATTTCTTGACTGAAGCTATAGAAATATTGAGCCAAACTGGTGTGTGTGTGTTGTAATTTAGGGAGGTGGTAGCAAATTAGGTAACAATAACTACATTTGTTTTGAATATTTCAAACTCCGAGAGAGAGATCTTAGAGCAGAGGTTATAAATAAAGGGGAGCTGGAATAGATTAAAGGTATGTAATTACAGAAGTTGGCAGTGTTCTGATCTCAAAAAAAGATCAGCTCTGGGTGCTCTAAAAAAAGTTACACAGGATTATGCCTGATTAGTCCAGAGATGGGAGACCACAATCATTCCTAGAGATGTGGATTAGCCTGGGGAGTTAAAAAAATATTGAAAGAAGATAATAGCAATTATTTCCATATTGGTTCCAAAAAATAACGTGGGTGTGTCTGCGGAAGACACTAGGAATTGAGTTTATTCAAGGAGATTTTACCATTATCTTTAAGATCAAGTCATTCTCACAATCCTTTGCTATTAACTGTGTTGGCCAGGCTGATTTAAGTTCAAATCCTAAGATTGGGGTAGTTAACAAATATGATAGAAAAATAGGAGGTCAGAGCAAGCAGCCTCACCTGTCTCAGTGTCAGATATCAGAATATGGTTTAGGTTTTGGATTGTTGCCAATGTTCTATTTATTAGTCAGGAATATAATCTGGAGGTAAATATTTTTCATATGTTTATATTGTGTCAGACGGTTTCAATATGGTCAGGAATATGTTTTATTTCTTTCTTCCCTTTCTCCAACAGAATATTGAAGAGAAGAAATGTATCTTTATTTTTAGAGGCATAATAGCAAAATAGACCAACATGGTTGAGGGGAAGGATGGGGTGGAGAACAACCTGTATAAACAAAATCACAATATCGTGGTTGCAAATGGACCACAAATTGTTTGTGGCCATATCAGAATAGTAAATATCCTCAGCATGGGAGAAGAGCGGGTTTGGAGGCTAAATCTTCTGAAGATTAGTTAAGAGCATGGGGTAAGTTTAGCCTGGAGAAGGCTAAGGGGAGACAATGAGAGAAGTCTTCCAATCTTTGAAGGGAACAATTGCCCCAGGGAAGAGGGTCTGGATTTATTCTCCTTAGTGCCTGAGTATAGGACAGGAACCAGGGGATGAAAGCTTTACAGAGAGATCCAAACTTGAAATAAGGAAGATTTTCTTGACTAAATCAGCTAATAAGCCTGCCTCCTGGAGTTGTCAAGTGAAGGTTGGACAGCAATTCCTCTGGGTGGTATGAAGATTCCAACGTTAGGCAGGAGGTGGATTCAAAGACAATCAAGGTCCCTTCCCGCTTTATGATTCTATGATTCTAAACCAGTGTAGATGGAAAAGTTAAATTTGGGTATTTACTGTATTTCTATTTTCATAATGCATCTATCCCAGGACATGATTTATGACACTGACCTGCCTTGATAATAATAAAGAAGCTGTATGATGGATCTGATTTAATAAAACAGGCTTGTTTGCAGTAGAGTAATGGGAGAAAAATGTTACAGCTGTGCAATGCTTCAGGTTCATGCTCCAAAAGATGCTTTGGAACTTGCTGGTGTGAATGTAACACCTGCCTGCAACAGCTTAAAGTGCTTCAGATTCCTTCTCCAAAAGTTGCTTCAGAGCATCTAACAGTGAAGATTTAGTCCATGTCTAAATATCGTAAAGAAAAGACATGTCTTTGTCAAGATCATGCTGCTTGCATGTACAGATGCTGCACAATCCAAGGAAAAGGTGCAATTATTTTAAGAAGCTTATACATTTGCACTCCTTTTTGAAGACAGAATGTGAGGTACTGTACGGCCCTAAAGATGTGACTTTGCATGTTTCGGCAAGCGCAATACATGTAACAAAGGATGTTACATTTCTAAAACATCCTTTTTTCAGAAACTTTAACTATATAGACATTTACAACAAAATTGTCAGGTTCAGTCCAAAGAACTCCACGGGACAGTACAGATACAGTTCTGTTGCATTTATTAGCTTCCACCTACAAGACAGAATCTTTCCAGACTGAATCTAAACTTCCCAAGCCAGCAAGCCAAAACACCGCGAATTCCTTAGGGTGGTGCCAGTCTCATCCTCTTAACCTTCCCATGCTCCTGCTGGGGGCTAAGGAAATGCTTATCTCCCCGAGCGTGGCCTTCATCAAACCATTCCATCACAAAAATGTGATTTTAGTATTTTATTTGTTCACAAGTAGTAGCCTCTTAGCAAAACTTGAGTATTTATTAACATCCCAGTGTTTATTTTCCATTACAAGCAAAGAGTATTGATCCGGATGCTTCAAGGTAATTAGCAGCATGGAATGGAGTGTAGCATATAGTTGTGATGTGTGCTAGGAACGTGCATTTCTGCGGCATATTGTAATCTACAGCTATGGATTCACCTAGCTAGCACCCCATTTACTATTGCTGATGCATGTGAATCAAGCTGTGTCTAATTCTATTCTGAACAATGTGAGGCTCATAGGCCTGCATAGTTGATCATGTGAGAGATATGTTGCCAGTGTGCATGGCCTGGTAAAAGTATGATGGGATTGTCATGTTTTCTTCTTAGTATCCCATTAACTGAAATGACCGTCCATGGATTAAAAGTACTACAATTTTGCTTATAGTGGAATGAGGTTGAACTTGGCCTTTTTGTTCTAAGTATCACTGCTCTCTCTGAAATGTTTGGCTCCTCTTATTACAAGTGTTGGGTAACCAGATGTGTATGTGGCTAATGGGCTGTGGCGATGATGGGAATTTAATCTCCTTCCTGCACCCTCCAGTAAAGATGAACGATCAGCTTGTTTGTGATCTCTAGAAGTTTTACCTACTCTGAGTAATTTCATTTCTTCTCATGTTTTGTCAATTCAGAAGGAAAATATTTTTTTGCCAAAGTCATGTTTTCAGATTTTTTTTTTTATTTTTGAGCTGATAATTGTTGGCAAAACGTGAAGAAGTCTGCAATTTACTTGTTTATAAGACTTTTATACTGCTTCAGTTTCACGAGCTCTAGGTGGTAACAGTAGCTTTGCTTTCATCAGTCTGTAATCCAGTACAGGACCAGTCCTATCATTAGGAAGAGTGAAGCAGCCTTTAAAGCAATATCTCATGATAGTCAGGGATGAAGAGCAAATCTCAACCCCCCACTGCCCTGCCTCTCCAGGAGTGGATTCTGTCTTGCACACATAGTAACTGAAAACCTGCCATCACTCTTAGAGAATCCCTAGAGTAATGCATTGTGAGATGCCCAAAAAGGTCTGTTAACATGTTAACTTTTTATGTTCATATATGCACAAGTGTCAAAAGGAGTGGCATTCACAGCAAAATGAAACGATAGCAAAATTATATGTATGATGATGTCATCACACCAATGTCACCATTGCCTACTGACATCTGATGCAAGTTAATATGGTTCTGTTGCAATAAACATTTCATCATTTGCTTAAATGCACTAATATTGTATTAGTAATTCATATAAGAACCTAATGCACTAATATAATCAAAGCTTGGGGACTTGATAATATGTTCTAACAGGGAAACTTTAGTTGACAAGCAATGTTCATTGATTTGTTTCCTACAGCAGCGGCCAAACTTAGCAAGTAGGATACAAAATATTTTGCACTTCTCCTGGATACTGAATATTGATTGAGTTCACCAGCATGAAAGTACCTAGGCCAGAAGATGTGTTATTTTGGAAACTCAAAATGTAGAACAGAAATCAGATATTCATCAAAAAGTAGGACAGTGGAACCTTGGTGATTATGCCACCTACTGGTATCCAGTGGAGTAAATTAAAATAAATATGGTTCATACTAAGGAATGAGAGGTCAATATTTATGGGACCAATCTTGACTTTAGTCTTAGATAGCATTATATGATATGTAAAATATATTGAATAGTTTTGGAGTGATGTCAGCTCCTGTCAGCCTCCCAGGTAGACCAGACAGGAGACATGACAAGATGAACTAATTCTACTTTATTGGAAGGCTACATTAACAAAATCTTGCAAGTCTGAAAGTACAAATCTCCTGCTGTCTCTTTTTACAGCCTAATAAGTTAGGGCAGATCGTCTCTAAGTTTCTTTCTATGCCCATTATGCAGTTGCTGGCTCCTATCTGATTGTTCCCTATGCAGCATCTCTTCCCCTTGCCTCTCAAGGTCATTCCCACATGCCATTACAGCTCCTGGATTCTTCCTTGTTCTTCAGGAAGCTGCATGTAACTTCATCTATGACTTTATATTTTTTAAAAAAATCTTCTACTGAATGCAGTCTTTGCTTTCACATGGTCAATGTGAAGAGGAACTGTAAGCATCATCTGTATCTTTAGATGCCATCTGTATGTCTCTTTAGATGTAATGATGTGGTTTATGTTAAAGTCTCTGTGTTCTTTAATAAAATATGTCTTGTTTTATTTTAGCTTATGGCTTTGCCATATCATGCAGAAGATTGTTGCTTCTACTTGTCTCATTAGATTCAACAGGAGAGGTATGCTACAGGTCCCGTCAAAGAATATCATCTTGCAGGACCAGGAAGTGGGCATTTTATGTTGTTGAACCTGCCATTTGGAACACTTCCCCCAAGAGTAGATTGGCTCTGCTGCTGCCAGCTTGTCAGAAGGCTCTTAAGTCATGGATATGTTTCTGGGCAAGAGGGTTGGATATTTAGTTAGAATTCATGATGTGGTTTTTATTTGTCTAAATGGGTTTGACTATTGGCTTTGTTTACATTTTCTATTATGTTGTTTGTATTGCTTTTAAATGATGTAAGCCACCCAGAGTTGCTATCATGAGATGGGTGGCTATGTACATCAAATGAATGAATGAATGAATGAATGAATGAACGAATGAACGAATGAACGAATGAACGAATGAATAATAGCCAGGACATCTAGATCTGAATTCAGTATTCTGTAACTTATAGGAAAGTATTTATGGGAGGCTGTCTTAAAAAAGGGAAATTAGGTTTTTCTTTCCCTAAATTCCTTTTCTAAGGCCACTGAAAACTATAAGTGGCCACCTAACAATATGCTCCTTTGCTGTTGGAGAAAGGCTCTACTGTATGGGAAGGAGAAGGAAGTACAGCGAGTGGAAGGGGAGACACTGGCAGGTGGAGAGAGTGATGGTTCCCTGTCCCCCCTCGTGTGGCAGGACTTCTTGGATACAAATTAGGTGGATTGAATTTAAAATGCAGGCCAGGTAATTGTATCCAAGATTTTTGTACCCAGTGATGCTGCTTTCGTCTTCCAAACTTTTTCATTCATATTTTTGCTGGCCTTTGCAACTAGAAGCCATTTGTTTGAGAAGACTTTGAGAAAGGCACTTCTGTCTCTTGCTCTGAAATTATTGCATTATAGCTGTTGTTATGAGTAGCCTGCCACTGTTTCAAACAGGGGCACCACCTCTAGCACACTTCTTAATTGTTTTTCAGATCCCTGTTACATGATAGTTGGTCTGTCAGTGGGGCATCAGTGTCCTTGACTAATGGGCTGTATCATTCCATCAGATTTTGACCCTGAATTAAATGCTGCCCCATTCGTTCTTCTCTTCCTTCAGGAACTTCCAGCCCTGTATTCCAGTATCCATACATTCCTGTGAAAATTCCTGTTTTTGTTGCATTTTGGACCACCAATATCAGATAGGAACTAAATGCTGGGAAAAATTAATTGCTTCTTAATCACGATTTTTTCTGCATCATTTACTTGTGCTTTTTTATGAATCCATAAATTCACAGAGCTAGCTGGTATGTTAATTTTAATTATCCTGAAGAGAAACGCAGTGTTCTCTTGTAGTAGAAAGGATAAGTTTCTACCTTTAGAAAAGACTTTCAAAATCAGGGATCACTTTCAGGTGATCAGTAGTGACTAATCAACTGTTGCATTTGCCAAGATCATGTCCCATCTGCTAACTTTTAAGTCAGTGACAGTCTCCTGCTTAATATGAGTTTCCCTCTGTATGTATGAGCAAGACTGAGAGTGAAAGAGATATTCTGGACAGTGCCAAATATCCTGCACCTGAGTTTCAAACTGAAAGTTTATGGAACTTTGCTTGTCTCCTTGCTAGGTACTCTCTGAGCTGGAGGAAGTAAGTGGATGTGCAGATATCTGCTTGCTGAGCACTAGAGGCTACAGTAAATCAGAATCAATTCCAGGCTTTCTCCAAATCAGGAGCTGAGAAAGAAAGCAGGTATCACCTTCCTACGATTCTAGGGTTGGAAGAACTTTGGGGGTGTTTGTCATTCTTCCTCTGGGCACTTGTAGCACATGCCATGGCAAATGTGATGGCTTTCATCCCTTGGTCCAAATGTTGTTGAATTTTAGCTGTTTAAATCAGTGCTGACCTATGTGTCAGAAATGCTTGCAACTGAAGATTTATTTGACACATTTGAATTAAAATCTCAAAATCAACCTCTAATCTTTTTATAAATAAAATATAATGTAATGGTTGTTTTTCTATCCCTACTGAAGGGAATACTACATGGTTTAAAATGTGGACAGTTTTTACTTGTCCTAAGAACTTACTTACAAGTTCCAAATGCTAAGCCTGAAACCCAAAACAGGTTATATAAAGGAACTTCTTTATATATATGTTGCTGCTCAAGCAAATAGAACACTTCAGAGGCCATTGGCATCAGTGATGGATTGTACCATGTCATTCTGACAGTCATGCAGATCTCTAGCCTTCATAAAATGGAATAAAACAGCCTTCCCCAACTCTGTAACATGCAGATCTATGGATAGTCTAGAATTCTCAGCAATGCCTGTTCTATCTGGGAATTTCCTGAGTTGAAGTCTACAATTCTGGAAGCCACCTAGATTGGGGAAGCTTAGGTTAATGTTATTTTTGCATAGCTTCTTGAATGGCATCAACTTTGTACAAAGATAAAGGGAAGGGAAGGGAGTACTAGAGAAGATCATTTATTTGTACCATGGACAACTTTAAGAAAAGTTCTCAACCAGGCAAACTTAGGATACAGTGGAAATGAATGTACAATCTTGCAAGAAACTATATACAGCTAAGTTAAATCCAGATAAATGGTTGCTGGAAATGAATGTTTAAGGAAGCAACTAGAAAACTGTTGTCTGCCAGAAATCCCTCCCCCACCCCATTGTTTCCTGTTTGCACAGCTTGTTAAAAACCAATTATGTAATTTTCCAAAAGCCCAAATTGCATATTCACCATCTTTCTCATCTCTGCCAAAGCAGCAATAAATTACCTAGTTTTTTATAGCGAACACAAGCTTATTATTCCCCCCTTCTAACCAAGGTATATAGAAAGTCACATACAGCAAGAAATTGTACAAACTGGAACAACTACATTGATATCAGTTTTACCCTAACGTTACAAACAAAATAATGCATGCTTGTTAGGAACTGGAACAGGGATGAAATAATAGGGTACAGCCCAGTGTTTGCAGAATTTCAAGGACAGCATCAATTAAGGATGTTTTTCCTCTTGAATTTGGGTTGTTGTTTTTTTTCAGTTTGAAGTTCAGTAAATGTCTTTCAGCTAAAGTCCAAATATGATCAAGTTCATCACATAAATAGTAATCCGAGAGAAGGAAACAAAAAGAAACAAAAATCTTTCTCCTGATGGTACTTTAAGAAGTGGAAGTGAAGATGAATGGACATAACTCAGATAAGTTGAGTTCCATAGAAAATGATGTTTTTTCTTGGTAACTGCCTTAAGAAACAAAAGGAAAAATGAATGCAGAGGCATTCATTTTGCAAATGCAGTGCTTATGGTATGTTTGTGTTCCAGCCTCAAAACAAATGAGTGTATATTTGCCCCAAGTGCAAACTTTTAGTAGTGCATGAAGAACATCTAAGAGGAGCAGTGAGTGACCACTTCAGTTGACAACGGATGACAGAAATTTATTACAAGGGCAGCTGCAGCTGACTAAGGAAACAACTTTACAGGAGCAAATTGTAGATCTTTCAAAATAAAGTAGTAGTGATGGGGGACTTTAATTATTCCAACATCTGTTGGGAGAAAACCTTGCCAAGAATGATCTTTCCATGAAATTCCTGACTTCTCCTGTTCTGCTTTCTTGACTTCATGCTAAAAATGGGGAAGGCTTAGACAATGAGATAGAAGTAGCAGAAGCATTAAGGGAGAATGAACGTGTAATGCAGGAATTTGATTTTTTAAAAAAAATTAAAGCTGAGTAGTCAAACTCATATCTGGGCTTCAAAGAAAACAAATGTTAAGAAATTCAAAGCCTGACATTGATGCCTCGGATGATTTTACAGAAGATCTGAAAGAGATTTATCTATAGGTAGCTTCAAAGCAATGCCATTATCAGAAAACAGCATGGCAACAAGCCTTGCAAGACTGAAGTTAACTCATTTTTTATTGGGCATCTCCTTAATAGATTGTGGGAATGCTGTAGACCTAATATAACTTGTTTTCAACAAAGTATTTACCAAGGTACTCCATAATGTTCTGACTGATTAGCTTGTTAAGTGTGAGCTGGTTGACATGGCAATTAATTGGATACATAGCTTGCTTGGAAATCATATGAAAAAAATTATTAATTGGTGATGTTTCATTAAACAAGAGACAATATTGAATGAGGTGCCAGAGTTCAGTTCTAGGCCCTATGCACTTCAATACTTTTTATTAATGACTTGGATGAAGAAGTAGAGGAAATACTTAACAAAGTTGCAGATGGCACAGAATTGGATGGAATAGCCAGTATATTAGAAGGCAGAAATGATCTTGATAAGTTAGAGAAATGGGCAAAAATGAATTTATAGAGAAACTTGCAAAATTATTCATTCAAGAAACAGGCATTCAAAAGCACAAGTACAGGATGGGGATAATTGGCTTGGTATCAGACCTTTTGAAAAAGAACTTGGAATCGTCATTGATCATTTACTGAATGTGAGTCAGCAGTTATAGGAATTAAAATAAGCAGTTTTGCCTATTTACTGTGGTACCAGCTGTGATCTTGGCTAAAAATCCCACATTAAAAAAATAAATATGAGTGTTAGATATATTTGCTGAATGCTGATATATTTAATAAGGCACCCACAAACACTAGTAAACAGTACAGGTCAGTTTATTAAAACTATACTGATTAGTGGTACTTATACTAAGAACTTATGCTTTATGCAGGATGATATTTATATTCTCTTGTTACAAAGAATTATAGACAAAAGACAGACAAACAGAACATGATGGGAGACTGTATCTCAAAATGATGCTTATATACCCAATAATACTCTGTCCAAAATTCATCCCTTAAACTATGCGTATTGCTATAACATATCTGAGGTGTAGTCCCCACCCTTCTGTCACAGACAGTCATGCTGTGGCAATACTTATGATCAATTTAAAATGTACAGTGAAAATAATTAATGCTGAAGATACACATAAAATCTGTGCCAAGAAACTAACTTGAGAAAACATCTCAGACAAGCCTCTTCCTAGTTTACAAATATAAAGTGAAGGAGGGAAGGACATTCAGATTTGCAAGATTCTGCTACTGTAGCTATTACAACAAAAGTAGTTTTGATCTATATGGTGTTGGTTTCTTAGTCTGGTCTGACTTATAGGACTGACAATTGATAATTTAAAACTGGAATAGATGGGAAGGAATGATATGTCAAAAATGGCCCCAAGCAGAGTTAGGACAGGAGCCTTCACTGTAAGAACACATGGACATTTGTGATAAAACCATAACCGGGTGCCACCAATCTTAAGGTACAAAGGAAAATACATCTCTTAAAGATCCCTAAATCTAAATCAGAATATCCTAAAAGGATCAAATAAAACAGATATAAATAAAATTTTAAAAGCCAAAAGTAGAGAACAAGGGAGTAGTAACCACAAATGACAGTAACGGAGACACAGAGGCCCCCAACAGGGCTGGAGCTGGTGATAGGAGTCAGATATAAAGGAGGAAACAGAGCTACAACAGGCTCATCAGGATACTGCTTCATAAGAAGAGGCTGAAGTCAAGACAAGCAAAGAAATGATGATCAGAAAATAAATCATAACTGTAAATATCAGTATCTTGAAAAATGTATGAAATGTATACTTTAAGAGAATGTATATTATACATCTTTGTATGTATGTGTACACACACACACACACACATGTTTGGGTGGATTATTAAAGAGTGTAATCAGTTAAGTAATTGAGAACTGGTATGTGTAATATTCAAGGTATTGGCGTAGGATTAGAGAGACTCAGATTCAGGTCCACCCTTAGTTTGGAAACACCCTGGGTAACTTTGGGCCAGTCCTCCTCTTTCAGATCAATCTATTTCACAGGGTTGTTGTTGTGGAAAAGAATTGGAGGATAGAATACTGTGTGTGCTCCCTTAAGCTTCTGGAGGAAAGGTAGGATATAAATCTAATGGATAGGTAAATACAGGTGCTGCTTAAACTCATGGTCCCATTAGCAATATTGGCTGCAACCAGAGTAATGATTCTGGGATTCCAAAAGTAAAACCCCAAACTAATCTTCCTTACTATGACTGGGATGGCTAAGGGTTTCTATAATCATCACTGGATATAAGGGTAATATGAAGAAGGTTTCAGCTGGTTTTCTTGGACTTAGGTTGAATAGTCCTCTCATTACAACAGCTGCAACTATGGAAAGACCATGGCTATGTGCTTCAATTTTTACTGTATTGCTATACTTTGACATGGGTCTTTCCATTGTCTAGACCAAGGATTTGTTTTAGAAGCCATGGTCACACTGTCTGATCGTGATTAAAGCCCTTCTTCCCATTGATGGACAAAGTAGATGCCTGCTTGATTAGTGTATGAAACAGGATCCTGCATGAAATAGGACTTGAGCTCCTCTTTCTGTCCTTAGGTAGGGTGTTTCATCCTCAATCATTTTTTCAGCTGTAATGCTCACTATTAATACTAACTTAGCTTCTTTATTTTCTATAGGATTCTTCCCTGTTTAAACATTCTGGCTGCTATTTTGAAGGTGGTCCTCGACTTACGACCACAATTGGGGCTGGAATTTCTGTTGCTAAGTGATGCAGTCATAAAGCGAGATGTCACATGACTGCATCGTTTAGCAACTGAAATCCCAGCACTCTCTGTTGCTGTTGTTAAGCAAATTCCACCGGTCGTTAACTAAGGGCCTATCCCCATCCAAGCCATTTGGGGCTTGGTTCCTCCCAGCCCCGAGCCTCAGTAAGGTAAGGGACTGTCTCCAACTCCCCCCACCTGCCTATCTCCCACCACCACCTCTATGCTCTTTTGTCCACCCTGCACCCTGCCTTGCAGGGCAGCAAGCAGCCCCAGAACTGCATGGCTCTGGGGCTGCTTGCTATGCTGCAGCTCAGGGGCTTCCTGGAGCACTGCAGGTCTAGGGCTGCAGGAAGCCCCTGAGCCACATCGCAGCATGAAGCCACAGCTGCCCCTGGAAGCCTCAGCTCCCCCAGCCCCTCCCCAGCAAGTACCAGCAAGCATTAGTTTGTCCAGCTACCTTCTCTCCCAGTTCCATGCACCGACCTTCCACCTTTCACACCCAGGGAGCACTCAGGAAGCCATGTGTAGGAAGGTTCACTGGAGAACCTGAGCCAACCCCTGGCCCTTTCCCATTGGCTGGCATTCTTAGTTGTGCTGCCCTGCTGGGCAGGGCTGAGAAGCCATGTGTAGGAAGCATTTGCCCAGGGTAGCATGGCAGCCAGAGATCTGAAAAAGAGACAGCAAAGGCAGCGAGGCGCTTCTGCTTTGGCCATGGTGGCTGGACACAAAAGGTGAAAGGTCAGTGTGGGGAACTGGGAGAGAAAGCAGCTGGGTGAATGAATGAATTCCTGGGTGCTGCAGCTTGCTTGCACTTGCTGGGGTGGCTGAGCTTCCAGAGGTGGCTGTGGCTTTGTGCTGTGCTGCAGCTCAGGGGCTTGCAGCCCCAGACCTGAGCTTTACCCCTGAGCTGCCGCATAGCAAGCATCCCCAGAACCATGCATTCTAGGGCTGTTTGCCACCCCACAAGGCAGGATAAAAGGTGTCCAAAAGGGCAGAGATGGGGGAGAGATAGGCAGATGGGGGGAGTTGAAGTGCCCCTGCAATTGTACATGCAGGCAGGCTGCCAAGTGCCTGAATTTTGATCACATGACCATGGGGGCGCTGCAACGCCCATAACTTTGGGGACCAGCCATAAGTCCATTTTTTTCAGCACCATTGTAACTTTGAATGGTCGCTGAACAAATGGCTGTAAGTCAAGGACTACTTCTACCCCAGATTTAATGCCATCTCAAGCCATTGTATGAATGTTGTGGGATAGACTTTTGCAAAGAATGGGGAGGAGGAATTTCAAAAAAGGTCAAGTTGTTATATGTTTCTGCACATCCATGGTACTAACTCCATACACGCACAATATCCTTTCTCCCTCCCTATCTCCCCAGATTGGAAAGAAGAGCATGATTAAATTTTCAATTTCCCATTTGGCTTATTACAGTAATCCATGGACTTGTGGCATGCATTGCTTTTTTTCCTCCCTTATTTATTCCCCTCCTTTTTTTACACATAGGAGATATATTTAACAATACAGTTGACCTCTGTTCTCCTTGAATAACTTAGCATGTACTGCTTTTTGACGTTGTGTTCATTAGAAGAAGAAATAGATTTTCATTGCCACTGAATTAACCCTAATTGTAAGAGTTTAAACTTGTTTGGGGCTAAGGGTCATAGCCTGAAAACCCCGTTTGGATAATGAGATAGTTCTTCAGTTAATGTCATTATATGCTTGTATTTCTTGGGCAGTGTCTCTGACTCTGTAGAAAACACAATTACTGGGAAGAAGGTTCTCCTGAAACAGGTGGATTCTAGTTTAGTTTCCTGTATAAGGTAGAAGTAGAATGTTATTTCAATTGCAACTTGGACTATGAAGGCAATTGAGTCCCACTCTTCATACAAGCATAGCACTGAAAGATTGGGACTGCACCCCCATGTCCTTGGGATGACATTGTCCTTGCATGAGACTTGATATCAGTTCAGCTCTTGCTCCATAGAAAATGCTGTAAAGACAGTTTAGTACCATTTCCTCTGAAGTGCACAATGATTTCCCATTGGTGGAGACTTCATTCTTCATCCTAGCTCCTGGGATTTGTCCCCTCCCTCTTGTAAGGAAGGTACTGAAATGCCTTGGCACCATCCATTCATCCATCCTTTTCGGTTGCTTCAAGAGGAAGCCCTCACACAGTGGCTGCCGCCGCCGCCGCCTCCTCCTCCTCCTCCTCCTCTTTAGTTTTCTTTCTAGTGAACAAGCAAGGGAAGAATGAGGGTGCAGGCACATTTCTGGCTGGCTGTCATGTTGTGCTCCTTTCCATTGACTAGCTGGAGGGAGTGTTAGTTTAGTAGGAGAAAGTGGGAGAAAGGAGCACAGGAGCGAGGAGATTCACAGGGTGACTCTGAAGCTTCTGCAGAGGGTTGGGTGACTGTGTGGAAGTGCCCTGAATTAGAAAAACAGGAAAGCTTATACATACCACATTACCTTTCTCTTTGAGATTTTTTTTTTAATCTGCACTTTTCTGTGAAATTGAAGTGTGCAATAAAAATGAAATATTCCTATATTTTTACATATTATGATAGGTTTCAGTTGTAATAGTTTCATTGCCCTGAATAGTAAAGGTCCTAGGTTGAATTCTTAAATGTAATTGTTTGGATGTGTTTTTTTCTTACAAGCCATCATTTTGTAATGTATAGTTTGATCTGCAATCCTTTGAATAAGATTTAGCATCTCAGAATGCACATAGCCTATGTTCTGCGTTAGAATCTTAGAATATGTTCTCAGGTGCATTGATTTCTTCTGCAGAATTGAGATCAAAATAGCTTAGAACGTAAGAACAGCCCTGTTGGATCAGGCCTAGAACCGTCTTAGTCCAGCATTTTGTTTCTCACAATAGTCAACCAGATATGTCTGGGATGCACTCAAGCTGGAGATGGAGACATGCCCTTCTTGTATCATGCCTCCCCTGGAATTGGGATTTAGAGGCATGCTGCCCCTCATCCAGACATAAAATTGAGTCTAAAGACAAACAGCCCTTGATAGACCTGTTCTCTGTGGATTTATCTAATCCCCTTTTAAAGCTATTCCAATTAGAGGCCATCATCGTATCCCCTCTAAAAGAGGTTTCCACCAGTTGGTTATGTGCTGTGTGAAGAAATGCTTTCCTTTGTCTGTTCTAAATTTCCTTTCAATTAGTTTCTTATATTATTTGAAAGTATTTCTTACTTCAAGAGACAATGATTGTGAAGTCTTTCTAATAGAGATCAGCATTAATCAGTTCTCGTTTCAGCCATCATTTAGGGTCGAGAAGGTTTTATCTCAACCTTAAAATAAGTGTGGTGAGATGTAACCCATAAAGAAAGCTTTAAGGGAAAAAGATGGCTTGCAGAGAAAGAGGATGCCCTGAACATAATGGTGTTGTTATATCACATCCTCTATTATTCACTGCCCTTTCTTTTTCCAGGGTCGGTTTGCAACTACAAAGATTAGACTAGAAGCTTTTGCTTTCATCAGCTTCAAGAATGGATTTACTGGATTGCAATTGTCCTCATACGGCTTGTATATTATATAGGTAGTACATTGAATACAAAGAAATATCTGTAGGATGAACTTCTGTTACTACCAAGTGAGCCTGTTCAGCTGTGGATTGTTACAAAGAAAGAATTAGCAATGTTTTGTTTCTCTTGTTCAAAAGTCACATTATTGTAAAAAAGAAAAGAAAAAAAGCTGTATAATTAAAGTGCTTAAACTTCAACTTGCATTTCACTGATCATTGCAATATAGCCGACTAAAAGGTATTGATAATCGCAATATTTAAAAAAGTTGGGTGAGTAATGGGAATGACTGGGGAAGGATTAAAAGAAAGGCCACATTAGCCTTTTTATTTATTTATTTATTTTATTTATTTTTTCAAATTTGTATGCCGCCCATCCCCCCCAATGGGTGACTCTGGGCGGCTCACAATAATAAAAAAAACAGGACTCTCCAGACATAGTCAAATCTATAAATAGTTAAAAACATATATAAAAATGGCCTAAAAACCTCCTATAATTTGGACCTAAAAAACCTGTAAGATGCTCACCCCACCAGCCATCTCCATAGGTGCGGGCCCCCCCCTGGCCCCCAAACCTTCTGGCAGAGCCCGGGTTTGATCTTTTTTC